TGTCAATTTTGACATTTTGAAAGTTAATCTCTCATCATATTGCTAGCTGATTAGCTTGTTATCTTAGCTTATATACATGTTTATGCACCTGTTAAATTACACACTTTAAACACATTTATACTTTTGTTTTAATCAATAATTACAAACTACCACCCCTTGAAAACAAGCAGAGCCAGACGGAACAAGCAGCATCATCGACCATGTGATACAACAAAATTGAGGAAAATGTAACTTTATGCAATTGCGTAGTGACTTAATAAGGAGTGTGAAGGCACTGGAGCTCACATGATCTATTTCCTGTGAGATACTGTAATTGAGTTTATTTGACTGTTTTGCATGTCTTCACTCACTACAGAAAAATGATGAATAAAACTGTAAAGAAAACAACCACTTCTCAAAAAACTCTTTTGGGGAAGATTGTTGAGTGGTCTGTGACTAATATTTACAAATGAAACCAAGAGCTTGCAATTATGCTCTTTTATGGCGAGCATGGGAATGGCAAAAATCAATGTAAAAAAAAAAATAATAATAATAATAAATGAAACAAATGTCCCGGTAAATTTATCCTTATTCTCCGTCACTCTACTAGTCTCTCAGTGATTTTCATTTAAAATATTTTGACAATTAATTGCATATTGAGCAGCAGAAATTGTTGCGAGTTATCTGTAGCATTAAAGGGATATTTCACTTTGAAATGATTTTTTGCTATGTTTTAGCTTACCTCAAGGGCATCCAAGATGTAGGTGTCTTTGTTTCCACAGTTAGTTTCAATTTTGATATTTTTAGGTCAAACCATTTGTGTCTATCAGTCATATAGACCATTTCACAAGATGTAAACAACACTGGTCCAGAAGCACTTCCTATTTCAGTTTTTTAACACTACATAAAAGCTGAGATAAATTACAACCAACAGAACATATAAAACTTAATTAAAAAGTTAAACAAACATCTTTAAGATGTTTTCTTTACATGTGAAATAAAGAAAACAGTTACAAACTGAAACAGGAAGTGTTTCTGAACCAGTGTTGTTTACATCTTGTGAAATGGTCTATAATGGAGGTCTATGGGGTCCACCTCAAAGAGCATGCACAGAGAAGTCCAAATTAAACATGACTTAATTACTCGTAAATGTAAGTACACATTGATGGCCTAAGACACGAAACGAGCGGTTTGTGTGAGAAAACGAACAGTATTTGTATCGTTTTTACCTCTTGTAACCACAGCCACGTCCAAGTGATCTGAGACCGCAGGCGCTTTGTGGCTTTGGTTACGAAAGGTAAAAACGATATAAATACAGTTCGTTTTCTCACACAAACCGCTCGTTTCGTGTCTTAGACCATCCAAATAAAGTGTTACCGGAAGCAGCAGGAAGAAAAGAAAGGAAAAGAATGACGCAGCAGGATTGGAAGAGGGGAAAAGAAAAGCCATTACAGCATCTTAAGAGAGGAAGACTCCCATCTATATTTCATAACACAAAACAGCCCCTAACATCAGACATCAGCTGTGAGGCTGGCTCCACTTCAAAACTTGATCCAGAGTTCAACTTCTGCCTACAAGATACATATTGGTTTGGTATTCAATAAACATGAAAGAACAACCGAATGCAAATGACCCTTTTGGGCATTGATTGCTTCATAATATTTTACTTCTGATCCAACAAGGACAGTGGCAATGGCAATGTTGGGACCTCAGAGAGGAATTACACAACATTTTGGTTAAATAAAGGTGTTTAAATCCATTCTGCAGATTTTTGCCATAATACATTTTGCTGATCAAGCCATTCATGATTAGTTAATGAGCAAACAGAGTCAAATAATCCGATAATGGACCGTACCAAGTTGCAAGTGGGGGATTTGTAAACAGTGTTGGTCCAAGCATGTGGGCTGGACTGAATAAATGAACAAAGGAATGTGGATTATTGACTGCTAACACATCACTGCTCACATTTTAACAAAAGGTCAAGGACACAGAATATTTATAGGATATTTGGCATATCCTGCACTGAAATGTAATGCAGATGGGCACAAACCCAAGACTTCTCAATGGCCCATTGGGTGTGAGAGTGCTATAACCTGTATTTTAAACCCACATTTCAATCAGAGTATTGAGTGGAGAGCAAGGCAATGCCCAGAGTAAAAGCCCCAATGATGACAACAAGAGCGATCATATTCCACACACACTGTCTTGAATGAATGGATGGCTGTGGGGGGAGGGAGAAAGAAAGAGAGGTACAGCGTGATAGGAAAGGGAGGGCTGATGTGAGTAACTTCAATGAAATCGGTGGATTTTTGTTGTGATACAAGAATACCAGACCGCATATAACATATATATCCAACCACACAAATTATATAATGTTGCATTTGGTATACAGTGGGGAGTCAAAGACTACTACTGTAGTGCTACTATTTTGATTTTCTTCATTTAATGCAAATGATTTCAATTGAATTGAAATGGTAATGGTGCATGCACTTTTACAAGTTGATTGTACTGAAACTTGTGTTGGCAGTGCCTGTACACAACCGTCATATAATGATACAAATATATCCAGTGTTTTTATTTTAATCTCCTTATGTTTTTCCCTGCCTCAAATCGAGCCGTTCGTTTTTGTGACGTCACTAAATCAGATGCCCAAATCAGACAAAAAATAGATCGCAGTGACATTAAGAAGGGGCGGAGTTAGCGAAGCTCATTATCATTTAAAGGCATATGCACTGAAACGGCGTGCTGGAAACAGCTGTTTTCGACCAGGTAAAATTAGTGTTTTCTTAAAATACCAATTAGAATTTTTAATAAATGTATATTACAAAGTTTTCATATAGACCCTAAACATTCATATTAACTTTGACCCCTTTAAAATGTCTTAGTTTGGTGTGTGCTTATAGCTTTACAGCATGAACCGCACAAGTTTATTTGACAATGTGTCAAATTTTCTTTATTTTTAATCAATTTTAATCAATTCTTATTTATTTTATGTCATTACTTTGATTTATTAAATATAACTGTAGTGCTGGGCAACGATTATTCACGATTAATCGCATCCAAAATAAAAGTTTGTGTTTACACCATATAATGTGTGTACTGTGTATAATTATTTTGTAAATACACACACATGCATGTATATATTTAACGAAAATGTGTATAATTATTTTGCATATATAAATCCACACACATGCATGTATACATTTAAGACTATTTTTTATTTATAGATAAAATATTTAGATTTATGCATAATATAAATTACAGTATATATACACATGCAAATATTTCTTAAATATATACAAAATAATTATACACAGTGTTATGTAAACACAAACTTTTATTTTGGATGCAATTAATCGTGATTAATTCCGAGCAAGCTCTTGGTTTCATTTGTAAATATTAGTCACAACCACTCAACAATCTTCCCCAAAAGATTTTTTGAGAAGTGGTTGTTTTCTTTACAGGTTTATTCATGATTTTTCTGTAGTTAGTGAAGACATGCAAAACGGTCAAATAAACTCAATTACTGTATCTCACAGGAAATACATTCTCCAGTGCCTTCACAGTCACCTTATTAAGTCACTACGCAATTGCATAGTTACATTTTCCTCAATTTTGTTGTATCACGTGGTCGTTCCGCAGCACTAATATAAAGTATAATTAATTTTTTTTTTTTTAAATCCCAGGTTTTCAACAATGTTTCAGACTAGTGATCCTAAAAGTTTCCCATGTACTTAATGTAAAAATATAATTAAAAGATTATTTTGAGATTTAAATTTGATTTTGAATGCAAGTCTCAGACTGGACTCCACTATAATTTTCACTGATATAACCTTTAATCAACCCACACATATTCAGTGGTGTGAAAAAGATCTATTCCACCACACACCCCCTTGCCAAGGTCATACAAACTAGCTGTACATTTGATAAAATACAGCAAAAAATGGCTGAGGTAGACTTTACACACCAGCACAACCAACAGGGTCAGTGGGACACGGAGAGTGTCTATTCTCAGCCTGTCTGCCTACAGCACAGACCATTAGAGGCCATGATTCTCCATCCATACTACCCAGTTGCTTCCACGTTAAATGTTTAGTGTCCACAAAGTAGCAAAAATGAATACATTACAAGTTTGAAAGCAGATAGTGCGGTGTGATTGGCTCTATATCCATCATTTCTTTTACTTGAACTTAAAGGAATATTCTGATGGTTTCTACAAGATATTTTATACTTGCACTGTAAAAAAAAATGCACTGAACAGTCACACATCCTTTAATAGACATAATGTGATGCCACGACAATTTCAGCACAATCTGACAAGTTGACAGTAAATAAATTGTGTAATATCACAATTAAACGTGTTGATTAATCCTTCCCATTTCAATAAAAGCTTCATGCTGTAATAATTTAAACATTCTTTGAGTGTACAGCCAAGCATCTGTAGCCTACATTAGAGAGCATCACGTTCACATTCACTCAGTCCAGCAGCATGTGAATAAGGTCCATTACAGGCGGACCACAGGCGAGCGGGAGATGCAAGAACAATTCCCATGACATTCCCAGTACACCTTGCAAGCCGGCATGTTATAATGATCTCATCTCTTTCAAAACAGCCTTTTCCGCTGCTGTGACTCTAATTGGAAAGAATCCTCAACCATTGTCTCAAGCGCATTACATCATGCCTGTCTTTGCCTCTCTCTCCCTCCCTCTTTTCTTTTCTCGCTGTCAGTGTCTTCCATTGATCTATACAGCTTTCCCCTGTATGAGATATGAAAGATTATCATCAGTTCAACAGAACATACAGTACTTGCATTCATTCAGTAATTCATTCATGCATTCATTCATTCATTCATTGATCTCCGTTAGCCTACTACAGCAAAAGCTCTCACATCTGTTGGAAGTTTCCTCTCACTACACGGGCATTTCCAAATCACCTTGAGAATGGTGCAAAAAGAATATTGCAGGTACACATAAGTCAGACACAATGTTGCGTTGTAGTGTGCATGCTGTCTTATACTCACTGTTCACTATGCAATATCAATGACAGCTGCAATCTAAGCGCGAGCGCACAGCTGCTCCAATCATCCGATTCACTACAAGGAAGCTTCACTGGCCAAAATCAGCACTGGTCCGGAGAAACCCGCAAGAATATCCACCGCTGGCATCCTCAGAAACCTGATACTGTCCCGTATATCGATGACATTTTGATTTCCAGATATGCCCATTAGTAATAAAATGGCACGTTAAGGATTCAGAGGCGAGAGCAGCGGTGGTTGGTAGAGACCATTGTTCAAGAAAAGAGGGGGAGTTCGCTTCTGTCTTAAAGTTGCAGCTTTCCAACAAATATTAGGATCTTCGTTCGTTTCCATATTTACTGAAGTGCAATGTTGTGTGTGTGTGTTACTTAACATTTAGGAAGACTTAAAACATTTAGAAAACATCGTCTTATTATGTTAGGATAATCCACCAGGACAACTTCATAAAAAAAAACGACTGTTAAACATAAAATACCTGAAAACACTGCAAAAGTGAATGTTACTATGCGTGTTTGCACCAACTAGGCTACTGTAGGACCAAAACTTAAACCCACGGAAGCAAATGTAAAGATTCTCGATGGCAGGGGCGAAATTTCGTTCAGTGACTCTTACTGCAGATTACATCGTTAAGTCAGCAGGTGGAGATAAGCGATCACTGTTTATAATGAGTAATTTTTTAATCGTTCGACGATTCAAACTAACGACATGTTACCAGGAGTTATATATGAAGAGCTGCACCCAACATAGTCCCGGTCAAAAGTTTGTAAACATTAGTTTTAATGTTTTTGAAAAATAATTATGGAATTTTCAGCATCATTACTCCAGTCTGCAGTCACATGGTCCTTCCAAAATCATTCTAATATATGCTGATTGATTGTCAATGTTGGAAACAGTGCTGCTTAATATTTTTAAATAATTTTTTTCAGAATTCATCGATGAATAAAATGTTAAAAAGAACAATATTTATTCAAAATAGAAATCTTTTAAGAATATAAATCTTTTCTGTCATTTTAACACATCCTTGCAGAAAAAGTATATTATTATTTTTTTTTATTAATAAATTATTGACCCCAATCTTTTGAACGGTAGTGTATATTGTTACAAAATGTTTCTATTTTAAATAGACCAAAAAACACTTAGGAAGATTGTTGAGTGATTTGTTTGACTAAAATCCACAGCTGAGAACAAGAACTGGCATTTACACCTTTGAGTGCAGCCGTTGAGTTACGCCTGTGAGTATGGGAAACATAAAACCAATATACAAAATATGGAACAAATATACCGACTGTACTTTCTCACATTACTAGTCACTGTGATTTAAAAAAAAACAAACTGACATTTAGTTGCATATTGTAAAAAATCTATATTTTTGTATGCTTAAAAAATGTTAAAAGTTCTCCGTATGGCATCAAACTGCCTCAATCATTTTTGTCCACTTTGCATAAAATGCCATTTGCAGAAATGTATAAGCACACAGTCTCTTAATCAAATGTGGCTCCAGGGAGCACTACACCACAGATCATAAAGCACCACAGAGTAATGAACAATTAAGCAAAATATGTTAAGTAAGGAGTGACTACAGAAGGAAACAGACCTGGTGCAGCTAGAATGTCCCTCCTTTTTTGGACAGATGTTCTTTATGGACAGATGTTAGAGACTTTAGAGATGGAGTGTGTGCAGTGTCACTCCTGACGGGAAGACCTTAGGCTGGCGGACTTGTCGCTGTCCGTGGTGCTGCTCCAGTGAGGAGCCAAGCACTGCTGTGCACGGCCATTAACACTGAAAGAGCCTAAAAAAGAGCCGACAACCAAACATAAACCTGGGCATGAAAACAAGTTTATCCTTTCCTAGTTTAATATGCCAAAACAACTATAAGCCAATCAGAAGTAGATTTCTCAAAGAGTGTAAACACTGCGTTTACATGGACTCTAATAATCCGATTGTAATCGAACTAATAGCAAAGTGTTTTTGTGCAGTGAAAATTGGCTGATCTAACCTAAGCGAGCAGGATCTTGGATAATGATAACCAATAGTCGAATAGCTTTTTAATAGGTATTAATATCCCATTGCGCAAACATGTCACATTAAGGGAAGTAAAATGGGTCGTGAAAGCCATGTTGACTTCAAATGTTCCCTATAGGAACCAAGTGATCGTGGTTGTGATGAGCTGAACTCTTGTGGCAAGGGACGAACTCCTTAGAGAGAGAGAGAGAGAGAGAGAGAGAGAGAGAGAGAGAGAGAGAGAGAGAGAGAGAGAGAGAGAGAGAGAGAGAGAGAGAGCGCTGTCACTGAGGTGCGCTGTATCAGCAACCCTATGTTGTACTTGTCACTGGAAATAAATAGTTCACATCACATCTTTACACACACTGTAGTAATTCCCTCTTGTAGGAAGAACAATATCTCAGGTAGTAACTTAATGTAAATGGCTTCACATTTTCATATTATATCTTTACATATATTTTGTCAAATAAAATAAAAATAAACTGCCTTTCAAAAATATGTTCAGTGATTTGAGTGACTAAAATCCACAGCCGAGGCAGAGAGGGGAAAAAAAACAAAGCTGGACGGACGTACAGATATAGATAAGATTTTGTAATTTTGACAGTATGACATTTATAATGTCACAAAATATTTATATTTCAAATAAATGCATTCCATTCATCAAAGAATCAGTTTCCACAAAAATATTAAGTAGTAGAAATGTTTTTAACATTTATAATAATAATTAAATGAAAAAATAAATAAATAATAAAATATGTCATTAATAATGTTTCTTGAGCAGCAAATCATCATATTAGAATGATTTCTGAAGGATCATGTGACACTAAAGACGGGAGTACTGATGCTGAAAATTCAGCTTTGCCATCAGGAATAAAATTACATTTTTAAATATACAATTAGAATACACTTATTTTAAATTGTAATAATATTTCACAATATTACTGTTCTTAATGTATTTCTGATCAAATAAATGCAGCCTTGGTGAGTGTACATTTACCGGCAACCGTTTTTTTTAGGGACACCTTTCTAGAACGGGGCTGGACCCCCTTTAGCCTTCGGAACTGCCTTAATTCTTGGTGGCAAAGATTCAACAAGGTGCTGGAAACATTTCACATAAATTTTGGTCCATATTGATAAGATATATCCACCTTATTCCTACGCCCCATGACGCTTTGCGCAAATTATGGGTGTGACTTCCGTTAAACTGTAAACAGTGAATGTCTCGATCTATAAACGCATTAGGTTAAAAAAAGTGTCACAATGAGATGACATTTATCGACTCACCCTTCAACCAACGAACATTAAAAGAAAGTTTAAAAGCATAAAAGCAGCAAGGTCTACTTTCAACAGACCAAATAACCCCAAAAGTGCAAATCTTTGGTTAATCACAGTAGTAGTCTAATATACATCTTTATTACGTCTTAATCAAAAAATGTTAATAAACATCAGCATTACGTGATACTATTTCAAAGTAATTTCCGTAATTTTGACAGGTTATAAATTACATTTACCTGTGAAAACAAACCTAGAAAGAGACGATTCATTGTGCATTTAAGTGAATTATTAATGGAATATATCGTAAATTAAATTTGGGAGAACAGACCACAAAAGTGCAGTATATTTCCTTTTTCATACTTTTACAGACGATTGCAAAGCAACTGAAAAGAGCTCTTACCATAGATATTCTTGTTATATGTACCATGTAGGCTATAATGTTATTCTCATGGTGTCTGCAAATAAATCATGAAGGACAATTGACGGCTCATCCAGTCAAACATGGATGATTAAAAGGGAGGAGTGTCAGAAAAAAAATCTCTTTAAAACATCCTTCAGTCCTGCCAAAGATATTCAGCTTATAGAAATGCTGATGCTAAAACAGAAAATCTGAACATTAATAAACATGGAACAGTCGCACACTAGGTCGAGTTTGGCTTGGTTTGAGTGTGTGAATACTGCAGCTAGGGTTTTTAAAGATCAAAGAGAATGTGTTTTATCAAGCTTGACATTTACTCCAGCTTTACAAGCTCTTTTTAAGGTTTCACATTTGCAGCGGTATCGTGCTATAACGTCTAATTCCTGCTCAGCTTGAGCAATTCCTTGCTGATTTCACACCAGTGACTCAGGTTACCGAAACACAAATCGACATATGACTAGTGTGTGAGAGGAGAGAATAGATAAGCTCTTGTGATTTCTGTGAGGTCTGAAAAGGATATCTCCATGTGTTTGATGCGGTGAAGAGGTGCAGATGAACTAGGCCGGTGTTTGAGAGCTGTTGGAGAGGGATTACGAGACCCTACTTCTTGATAAACCATTGTATCTGTGTCATCCCAGCGGAGGCCAAGTTATTATATGACTACTACCATGTAAACTCATAAAGCTGTGTAGAAAAGTTGTGTACTGTCCTCCATCACAAGAACGGGGCATTAAAAAAACTCTCAATTCAGAATTACAACAATAATAATTAGTCAAATAAAACTAGAGCTTGTCTTATTGTTTTCATTTGTGTTAAAGTTTGATGGGTGCTCTATAAAGCTGCTCGGATGAGCTGTTAATAAATTCAGGTGATTTGTTATCTAACACTTTAAACCTGGAGTGGAAAGGATTAATTCCACTGTTGCTAATCCAATTTTCTGGGTTATACAACATTAATGTAAATCAACACTCACACTCTGCATAATAATCATCACATATGAAACATCATGAAATCCTTCAGAGGGCAAATTGGTCATTTAAGATGCTTTTTGAGATTTTTAATAATGAACAGCTGAACAAACCCCTAAATATTAAACTTCAGTGTGTAACTTGTTCATGCAACAGACATGAGCAGAGGTGTGCTATTGCCATAAAAGTAATACAATATATTTAACCTTTGAATAGAACATAGATGTGTGCACATTTTAGTTGTAACATGTCATGAATTATTAGACAATTATGTCACATGGTATTTTACAACCTGAAAAGAATTTAAAAATTTACATTTTACTAATATTTTAAAAGACTTACTGATATTTATACACAATGTCAGTAATGTCTGACACACAATTAGGAAATCATAGGAAAGATATGTTCAAATCATTATATGTTCGAAGTGCTTTGTATTGTTTTTTTTGTTTGTTTTTTTTTTGTTGTTGTTTTTTCTAATAGATCTGGAAAAATGTAATATCATTGAAACAAAATTGTAAGTACCCTAAAAATTAGTTTAGGCAGTGAACGACTCACTGGTAAATGGTTCACTCATTATG